CCCTGCCTCTTATCCCCAGAGCTAGGATGGGGCTTTGCTAGTAGCGGTGGCTCTTCCTTCCCCAAGGACCGGCCCATAGATTTCCACTGCTCTCCTCTGCCACATCTATTCATCTCCGCCCCCTGCCTCTTATCCCCAGAGCTAGGATGGGGCTTTGCTAGTAGCGGTGGCTCTTCCTTCCCATGGACCAGCCCATAGATTTCCACTGCTCTCCTCTGCCACATCTATTCATCTCCGCCCCCTGCCTCTTATCCCCAGAGCTAGGATGGGGCTTTGCTAGTAGCGGTGGCTCTTCCTTCCCATGGACCAGCCCATAGATTTCCACTGCTCTCCTCTGCCACATCTATTCATCTCCGCCCCCTGCCTCTTATCCCCAGAGCTAGGATGGGGCTTTGCTAGTAGCGGTGGCTCTTCCTTCCCATGGACCAGCCCATAGATTTCCACTGCTCTCCTCTCCTCTGCCTTTTGCACATCCGTGCGTCAGGCACTGGACGCAGCTGCTCCTCACAAAATCAGGAGTGGTCAAGTGACGGCTTGCTTAACAATCCCCTCACTTAGCGATGAAGTTCCAATTGCAGGAGGGTTATGGCATTGTCTCACGCCCTCTGAAACCCTCGCACCTGGTTTTAAATCTTCATAGTTGCCATGCAGGCCTTCCTGTTTCCAATAACGAGACAGCCAACCATTCAAACATCCACAAATGCACTCCGACTATGAAGTCCTTTTATGGTGCAACAAAGCTGGGGGCTGATTAGCTGCTACGGTTGCAGGATCTGGGTTTGGCTAGTCTAGAGAAAAGAAGGACCAGGGGTGACAGGACAGGAAATAACTTCCAATATTTGAGGGGCTGCCACAGAGAGGAGGAAGGGGGTCAAGCTATTCTCCAAAGGACCGGAAGGCAGGGCAAGAAGCTATGGATGGAAACTAATCAAGGAGAGAAACAACCTGGAATGAAGAAGAAACTTCCTAACAGTGAAGACAATTAACTAATTGAACAACTGTGGATGGTTCATCACTAGAGGTTCTTAAGAAGAGACTGGAGAGGCATTTGTCTGAAATGGTGTAGGCCAGGGTCTCCTGCTTGAGCAGGGGGTTGGACTAGAAGACCTCCAATACTTCCCTTCCCTTCCCCTCTCCTTTTTTATCTTCTCTTCCCTTCCCCTCTCTTCACTTCTCCTTTTTTCTCTTCTCTTCTCTTTCCTTCTCTTCTCCTCTCCAGTCTCCCTTTTTCCTCTTCTCTTCTCTTCATTTCTCCTTTTTTCTCTTCACTTCTCCTTTTTTCTCTTCTCTTCCCTTCTCTTCTCCTCCCCTCTCCTTTTTCTCTTCTCTTCCCTTCTTTTTTCCCTTCTCTTCTCCCTTTTTCTCTTCTCTCCATTCTCCTTTTTTCCTCTTCTCTTTTCCTCTCTTCACTTCTCCTTTTTTCTCTTCTCTGCTTCCCTTCCCTTCTCTCCTCTCTATTCTATTCTATTCTATTCTATTCTATTCTATTCCTATTCCTATTCCTATTCCTATCCTATTCCTAATCCTAATATCTATTCTATTCTATTCTATTTCTATTCCTAATCCCTATTCCTATTCCCATTCTGACTCTACTCTTCGTGCTGCAGAGGCAGCCTGGCTGTATCTTCTTCTCCTCTTCTTCCTCTGCAGGTGCACAAATTTTACCGAGGGAGTGGCGGCAGCTTCAGCAAAGCTCAGGAGGAGTGGACCACCGGCGCCTGGAAAAACCCTCAGGTCCAGCAGGCGGCACAAAACGTGGCCGTGGGCGCCGCAAACAACGCCATGATGCAGCACGAAACGCAGTATTCGGCCACCCCTAACTACAACTACGCCAACGACATGTGAGGAGTCAGGAAACGCACACACACACCCCACCCCAACCCCCCGGTCCGAGGCGATCCCCAGAAGTCGTTGGCTTTAGGTGGGCAAGGAAGGAACGAAGAAGGCCGTGTGTTGTGGGTGCGGGTATCTTGTGTAGGTTTCCAAGGGATGAATTCCATCATCTTGTTGCCGCGGTTGGGGAGGGGAAGAGGGAGGCGGCCAGATGGCGGGAGAGACGTTGTCCGGGAGAAAAATCTCTGCATTTGATTCTTCTTCCTCTTCCTGGGTCCCCATCCTTGGGCCTCCTGCGGTGTCTTCTTTCTCCTCCTCTTCTTCTTCTTCTTCTTCCTCCTCCTCCTCCTCCGGAGAAGAAACGCATTGCCCTGCAGGACAGTTGTGTTG